TTTTTTTGTTAAGAAGACTAATCTTGTATATGTGCGAACCTTGATGTCTTCTTGCATGAGAAGGAAATTTAATCTCATCGCGTAGACATTTATCCTTTTCTTGCAAAATACGATCTAAATGAATTGATATGATCTTGAGCATTGATATCGTCACGAACGTAAAATTACAGAAAAAAAAGAAGAAACATTCGAAGATTATGAATAGTAATATGTATATTATATACACTTGAAGAAATATGACGAATATTTCTTTAAAATAGAAAAAGAGAGAAATTTTTCATCATTTTTCAACAAAAAATTTATTTTATTCAATCGATTACTTGTCTATTATCAAATAAATATTTACTTGAATAATTTTTATTTTAATCAAATAGTGATTCGAATATTTATTTTTTTTATCTTATTCTTTTCCTTATAAAATAAAGCAAGATTAAATTTCCTTTTAGATTTCTTAGTTACTTTTTAAAATTTTATTATATTGTTTTAATTTAATCCTTAGACTTAATATAGTTTTGTATTAGAAAAACAAATTTTATATAAAAGAAGAATTCTTGAAATTGTCGGAAAATAAAAAACATTGCAATAATTTATTTTATTTTTCGTTTAAATAAAATAATTGCAAAAAATAATTATTTACATGGTAAAACTATATAATTTCCTTTTATCTGAAAGTTAAAAAAACTTTTTAAGGAAATTGAATAATTTCACGTTTTCCAGGAAAAAGAAAAACATGAAAAAAAATTGATTGATAAGAAGCGAAAAATAATGTGAACAATTTTCAACAATTAAACGACTCATTAGACATAATTATCGTCGCGGTGCATAAATGTTATGTTACTTGATAGCACAATTAGCGTCGTCTAGTCATTTGTGGACCATTATCTAGCGTGTGAAATAAGCGTTAATGTGTAAACAACACTGGGATCGTTTTCATGACAATAAAATGGAAAGTGATCCTCTTAAAAATTTTCCCCAATTAAACTCAATATCTTCTCATATATTTCAGTTATAATAAAATATATTGAAAAATATTATTTATCAAATTTATCAAAATTTTTGTTTTCTATTAAATTATTAATTAGATATAAAATTTCATATTTGAAAAGAAAATTATTTTCAGAATTGTTTTTGTTTATCTGAATTAAATTGTGATGTTGTATAAGATAATATATATAATATCGAATAAAACGATTGGCATTTGTTTAAGGCGGAAATAATGTGCAGTTGTTTTTGAAAGACGATTAAAATATTGTCAGTGTGATCAAAGGCGGCTGAGACCATTAACAATGATAGCAGTCGGTTGAAAATTAGAGAAGTGGATTGATTAAAATGTCAAGTGATTGTGTCAACGACATTGTGAATGAAAAGGGAGAGAGTTATATATGTTCAAATATATATACTTGTTTACTCAGTAAATATAGTGAATCTTTTTCTTTTTTAAATTATGCAATACACTTTAATTGTGCCTTCATTAGACAAATTTTTATTTTCAATTTAAAATTATCCCTCTTTTAGTTCCCTGAGTTTAAAAATATTCCTAATTAACATCTATTTTATTGATTAATTATTTACTTTTACTATATAATTTATTAGTTATTATATTAAAATTATTTTGAAAAAAATTGAATTATTACAAAGAATTTTGATTGAAATTTTTGAAAATAATTCAATTCTTTGAAGAAATTTTTAATTAAAAAATAATGAAATAATAATTAATGAAAAAAATACTCAAATTCTAATAAATTTCAAATTCATTTGTTTTCAATTCAATTTTAGTAAATTTTAAATATTCGCATGTTTTTCAATTAAATACATATTAGAAAATAAAAACTTGAAAAAAATAATTTAAAATAAACTTTTTCGAAAAAATTAATTTTTCTGCAGAATTGTTAGTTAAAACTAAAAGTATGAAAAATTCAAACTTTCAAAGATTTTAATATGAAACCATTTCAAATATTCAATTATTTCTAAAAATTCACGCTATAATGCTTTAAATATTCAATTATAATCTAAAATTTTAAATGAAATTCATTTTTAAATCAACTTTCTATTAGAAAAATCTACTAGAATTCAATTACGTATTTAAAAACACAAATAAATTCAAAAGCATTTTGCAAGCATTCAAAAATAACAAATTTTGATAAAATTAAAAAAAAAGACAAAAAACACAATTACAATCTTCACGAAGATTAAAAATTCCACGATAAAATTGCACTGAAAGGGGCAAAATTTGTAAATTTCATCAAAAAATAAAAAAAAAATTTAACAATTTATGGAGAGGCTATTGTATAAACCACTCAGAAAATTATTATTTGCCTCGATTGAAAATTCATTAAAATTTGAAGATCGAAGCAAAGATCGAAGCAAAGCTAAGAAAAAAAGCAGAAGAAAAATAAAAAAAAAAAAAAATTCGTATATCGAATCTCGAGTTAATTTATGCAAACATATTGGTGAATTGAGTTCTTATCATTTGCATATACGCATATACAGATTTACAAGTATGAAAAGTGATGTTGAAGAGTGAAAAAGCAATCTGTATCAATCGTGCTATATTGCAGGGATGAATGAAATTATATATTATATTCATTTAATTAAAGTAAAAAGAAGAAAAAAGAAAAAGAAGAATTTTGATATGCATATATTTACATAGAGCCTAATTCGATATAAGTGTGTGTTGCAGAAAAGAAGACCACCATCGGTGGTCTTGATGAGAGAGACCGCACGCACGATACTTGTCTGGACCAACTTGTCCCCCCTCTCTCTTTACAATATACATCAAAAAGCACGCGCTCATTCCGTAATCAGAAATAATTTCACTAATAATAGAGTTTTAACTTCTAATTCTCAAACAGGCATTTATTTTGTGACCAAAATTGAACCACACATGACCAAGTTCTCTACATTTTATTTCCAAAATTATACACTTGGGGTTGGTTTTGAAAAAAAAATTGCAATTTTACCCTCATAATAAAAACGAATTAAAATTGCTTGCTTCACTCATGTATTATAAATATGAAAGTAAAATTAAGATAAAAATTTAATTTCTCTAATTTGGAAATAAAAAAATTAATATTATGCGCAATTGATGATGGTTCGAGACTATGGACAAAAAAAAGTAAAAAGTATTAAAAAAAAAGATTAACACTTTAAAAGAACCATTTGTGCTTTGCTATTTATTATTGCCCTGAAATTTTTGTATTAATTTGAGTTAAAAGTTATTAAAACACGAGTAGAAGTTCACAAAAAATTTAATTAATTTATTAATTATTTTGTGTATGACTTATTTTTGTATTTAAATAATTGAATTCTGATAAGAATTGATTTAAAAAAGAATTATAGTGAAAACTTTAGAAAATAATTAGAAGCGTTAAAGTAGGATACTCTATAGAAATTGAAAATAATTAAATTTCAAAAAGCTTTTAAATATAACAAATTATTATTAATTTGTTAGCTTCCTTAAAAATTAAAAGTTTTGAATAATATTATTTAAAAATTCTAAAAAAATAATTTAATTTTGGAAGACTAGTAGTTCAAATTTTCAAATGGTTTTACATTAAAAGTATTTTGAAATTTTAAATAAATAAAGAACAATTAGTACTTATTTAAATATTATTTTACAAAAAAAGATTGAAATTTGAAAAAAATAATTTAGAATTTCTGAAAAAATTAGGTTTTTGAAAAATAGTAATTAAATTTTTTTTGAAGATATACTTGAATTCACGAAAATAATTTTCAAAAAATGAAACAACTTGAAATTTTGTAAATTTTTATAATAAAAGAACTTAATTTTTACATCTTTAAAATTAAATTTTAAAAGATTTTTAAATTAAATTCTTTGACAATTTAAGGGAAGCAAAAGTTTAAAAACATTAAAATTTTTATTTAACAAAATTGTCAATTATACATTACTTTTCAACAAAAATTCTTAAAGTTTGGAATAATTTTATTTAAAAATTCTAAAAAAATAATTGAATTTTGGAAGAATTATTGTTGCATTTTATTTAGAAATAATTAAATTTCAAAATGTTTTTCATTGAAATTATTAAAAATTTTAATTCCCTTTGAAAAATAAATAAGAAAAAGTACCTATTTAAATTTTTGTTTAACAAAAAATATTAAAGTTATGAATAATTTAATTTAGAAATAATTCCGTAACAATTTGTTTCTTGAAAAAATGCAATTAAAATATTTTTTCTAAATAATTGCATTTCCGAAAATAATTTAAAAAAAATTGTTGAAAGATTTGAAAATTTTGTCAAATTTCATTGGATTTGAGTGAATTGTTCCAGTGGTACACGAAAGTTCAATTATTTAATCAAAAATAGGTATCTTACGTTCAAGTTGTTGTTAGAAATATCTTGGCGATTTCTATAGAAAGAGTTGTTCAAAGAATTAAATTTAAAGAAAAACTGTTGGAAAAATTATATTTTTTAAAAAATGAAGAATTTTTATTAAATTTCAAAAAGAAAAAAAAAGCTCGAAATTTTTTTTGTTCACCAAACTGCAAATTAATTAAAAACAAAGTCTTTATTGATGTATGGTAAAAATTATGAAGAATTGTGTTAAAAACAAGTATTTCTAATTATATATGACGTTCTGAGGATAATAATGATAATTATAAAGTGGACGTATTTTTTATTTTTTTCTTGGTTGAATAGACTTTGCTATTTCGTATCGAACAAAACGAAACATAAATGTTAAAAAATAGAAGTAAAGTGGATAAATAATAATTGTTTTTCAAAGAATAGTTACTAATATTCAATATTGTGTGTATGATTGAAAGTACTTTTAAAATTAAAAGGAAATTTCCCAGTACTTGGATTATCATCTTTTATCAAATTGCCGAGAATCTTATGACGAAATAAAGTAAATTTTAGTTTTTCATTTTTCCCCTTGTCTTTATTAAAGAAAAAATGATATGACTAAATAATGCATTATTCTTGAAGAACCAAGAATCAGATAAGGTGCGATAAGTATAAAATAGTATAAAACATCGCACTCGTTCGACAAATTGTTCTTAGTCAAGTGCCACTATCTTGAACGGAAGCACTTTCCGTTTGCACTTAGTAAAAAAAGTACATAAAGCAAAAAGTGAAAAGTTCTTCTAAAATTTCGAAAATTCTATTAAAATAGAAAATTGTTTACCAACTGAATGCAATAAGAAACAAAAAATGGAAACGAAAAAATTTATTTTGCTTATTTTAACATTTATTGTTGGACTGTCAGTGAGTTCTTATGCGATACCAAAAGAGCATAATCGATTTGCAAGAGCAACGGGAAATAAATCACATAATTTTATTGTTGGATCACGATTAACAGGCGACAGATTAGTTCTCAGGCAGAATATCCAGAAAAATTCCAGTTGGATGAGAATTGTGACTCTTGAGAAAACTTTTAATACAACACAATACCAGAGGATTACTCAAGTTGCTGCCTACGACCAAAAATCAAATGGAAATGGAGCTTACGCATCACTTCTTAATGGAGGTCCTGGAAGTGATAGGGCCACATTGAGATTTAAATCACAACGAGGACATGGCATTAATTTTATCGTCGAACTCTATGCACGTTAATTTTTAATTTCAATTAAAATTTCTTTCTTTATTTCAAATAAAAGTGTTCATTCTTCTCTCAATTTTCTCAATCCTCAAAATTTTAATAAACATTTTTTTTTTTAAATTTATATATAGTGGAACATTTTAAGATAGAAAAACTTGAATTTACGTGCTATTTGGGCAGAAAATACAATAACAAAATTAACACCTGGTCTTTCTGTATTTCTCATTTTGTATCGTACCAAACACTCTCTTTGTATAATAAGCTCATAAAGAATTTAAAATCTAAAAAAATTGTCACTTTTCATAAAGCATTAGATTATCAAGTGTATGTTGAAAATGCATAATTTTATCTCACGAAACGAAATAATAAATAAAACTGGCGCGTTAAAATAATTTCTAAATGAATTTAATCTTGTTATTGAATATTCAGATAAGACACAGATATTTAAATGTTAGCTGCTGTATTTTATTTACGACCGGAACTAAAAACTTGATTAAAATAATAATAGCAGTAATTTTGTAATCAAAAATTCAACTTCCACATGTTGTCAATTTTTACAATTTGCTTTCCAATGCCAACGTGTTCTTTTTTTATTTCTTCTACTTTTTACCTTACTTTCATATAAATGAAATATACACACTCGGAAATTTGTTTTTGTCAGGAAACTCATTAGTAAATCTGATTTCTTTCCAAAGTCTCATACCGGATGAGATGTCGAAGAATCAATGCGAATACAAGTCGATACTTAATCTTTTCGAGTATTTTCTCTCGAGTATAAAGCAGGTGTGGCTAAAGAAGACAGGATGTGTCAGTTATTAGGTACACTGATCACGTATAAACCATCGTATATACATACATACAGTTGAGTTCGTCACTCTTGCCAGACCATTAACCCATCGTACATTCAATTTTTTATAAATTTAATTACACACTCAAAAAAACATATACATCATTGATAATAACGAATTTTTTTTCCCCAATTTTTTCGAACTAAATGTTAAATTTTTTGACTGTTTTTATATTTATTTATGAATCAACTACAAAAATTCCTTCGTTTTATAAACAAAATTGTTATAAATATTAACTAAAAGTTAACTAACTAAAGTATTCACTACTGAAACGGAAAAAAATCAATGAGTCTAGGAATTTTTTTTTCCTTAAACCAGGGGTGTCGATTATGTAACTTCATTTTTACTTTAACTTCTATTTTCACTTTCACTTTAATAAAATTTTTCTAAATTTACAAATTTCACGGTTAGAGCAGAAAAATGGTATCCGGACAAGAAGTCTAAACCAAAAAATCTAAATTAAATGAAATCCAAAAAAATATTAAAAAAAAATAGTTTCACTTTGGACTTATTTTTTGAAGTCCAAAGAAATTAAAAATCCAATTAAAAAAATTAAGATATAAAATTAAAATGGTTGCCTTAAATGAAATTGTCATTTTTTTAGTTGCTCAATTTGATGACTGTGAATCAAAAGTAGATAAAGATTGTAATTTCTGAAAATAATTAAATTAATCGAGTAAATTAAATTGGAATAATATTGAACAAAATAATTGAATTTTTGTATAAAGAATTTTATCAAAATTGTTGTAAATAATTGTATATTTCTTGGAATAATTGTTTTAAAAATTTTTATGGAATAATTGAAATTTTTCTAGAAATTTTTTTATTTACGAAAATAATTAATTGTTTGTGAAGAATTTCTTTAATTTATGAAAATATCTGAATTTTTGTGAAGAATTTTATTATTTATGTAAATAATTAAGATCCTGCGATTTTAACATTAACATTTTAGAATTTTGAATAATTGTTTTAAAAATTTTATCGAATAATTGAAATTTTTCTGGAAATTTTTTTTATTTACGAAAATAATTAATTTTTTGTGAAGATTATTTTATTTATGAAAATAATTGAATTTTTTATGAAGAATTTTATTATTTATGTAAATAATGAACTTTTGTGAAGAATTTTATTATTTATGTAAATAATTAAAATCATTAACAATTTAGAATTCCGATTTTATAGCGTAAAAAGTAAAAACGTGGCTTTTTCACATGTTTCATTACTTATTTTGGACTTTTTATTTTATTTTTGATTTTTTGACTTTGGATATTTTTATTGTGGATTTTTTGTACTTTGGACTTTTTTCTTGGATTTTTCGGTCTGGATTTTTAAGACTGGATTTTTTTTTCCTGTAATCCAGAAAAATAATAATTCTCAATTATATTCAGGCCTGGGATCGACTATAAAGAGCAAAAAAAAAATCGCTTTTGTCGGTTAAAAATAAAATTAAAAAAAAATTCGAATTATAAATATGTATACATGATTTTTCCCAAATTTTAATAAATTTAAAACAGTAAAGTTTCAAAAATTTAAATTTACTTTGTTCGAAGATAATTGAATCTTACAAAATGTTGATAAAACAATTCTAACAATTATTTTCTTAAAAATATTAAAATTTTTCGAATTGGATTTCATACACTGAAAAAAAATTTATTTTATTCAAATAACCGATTAATTGACTATTATCAATTAAATATTTAATTGAATCAAATAATATTTATTAGAGTCAATTAAATGGTTCAATTCATATTTGCTTCAAATACTGAAATTGTTGGTTCAAATACCATTTAATTGACTCTAATAAATATTATTTGATTCAAGTAAATATTTAATTGATAATAGTCAATTAATCGGTTATTTGAATCAATTAAATTTGTTTTCCAGTGTAAAAGAATTTTTTTTTTAATTTAAAAAATGTGTAATTAATTTTTTGAAGAATTTTAATATATATTTTCATGATCTCTTTTGTTATAAATTTCAATTATTTTATTGTAATTGATTAATTTCATTCGGATAAATTTAAATATTAGAATCGAAGGTATGGCCGCTTTTTGAAAGTACATATATTTTTACTGTGTAATTTTTATCGCTAAAAAAATTATCACCGCCAAGATTCGAACCTTTGACTTCGGGATCACGAGTCGAGTACGCTAACCACTAGACCAAGACCACTACACTACTGTAAAGTCTATTAAAATCAAATAGTAATTAATAGAATGTCTAAAACTTACATTTAGCATACAGTTAAAAATTGAAAAAATAAAAAAAAGAGTGCCGAAGAAAATTATCAATATTTTCTTCTCACAAGAAGGTATAATTTTTTTTTCACCAAGTGTAAATAATTGCAAAAAAAAAAGAGAAATCAAGAAGAGTTTCTCCATCAATCTTTTTTTCTCTGCTTCTGCACACGATAATGCATTGAAGTCAATATGAAATTCAGAAGCTAATGTTGAATCAAGTTGCGGGATTTAAATGAGCAGACACACACATTTCCTTGAGGCTTGTTAAAAGAAGCAGGCTACAACTCAACGTTTGAGACGGTTGTTCATGGCTTCCGTTTCACTTCTCCTCCGTTCAGGACGTGCCCGACGGGTATTAAACGTCATTCATTTCCCTCCCTCCCTCCCCCCTTCCGGGAGGAGTTAGGAGACGAAACTACGAAACCATTGTTTGTTAATGCAACTTTGCTCCTTTACAGATGCTTACGGCTTCGTGTGTGGCGATTTTTCTTTCTAATGGAAGAGACCCCATTGTTGAATGGGGCTTATGGAGATTATACTTGACAAGCAAACGTCGAGTTTCGCATGCTAAAAACAATTTACTTCCAGACAAATGCATCTTTCCCCCTTTCCCCCTTTCATCCCCCTCCGAAAAATTTAAAGGAAAAAATATTCAAGGTCAAGTGAACTTATTTTCATATTTATTCTCATAGTCGTAACAAATTTTTCAATGCGTAAAGTTTTACATTTTCATCACATGAGAAAGTGTTCTTTTTTTTAAATAGAAAATAAATGAATTTTACTTGTTTGTAGCCTGTAATTTAAGTATAAAAATAAAATAAAAATAAATAAAATAGAAGTTAAGAAAACAATTTTCTTTAAATTACTACAACGAAAAAATGTATAACGAGAGAGTTAATCGAGAGACAAAAGGTAAAATTCAACAGTAGATTAAGTACATTTGATTAAGTACATGAGGAAGAGACGCTTCCTTGAAAGGATTTAAATGATTTTTGAAGAAAATTCTAATGCTCGTGGGAAGGGATTATTTCTTTTTTTTTTGTCTATGCGGTACAATACCGTAACGAATCTTGGCGAAATGTGTTCAGTATATAATTGTTTTGAGATCTCTCATCATTTTTTTTTCTCTCCTCAGTTCCCCCTCATAAGTCTACTTCCCACACATAAGTATAATTTATTTATAAAAAGTAAAAGCCTCTCATACATGAATTTAATTTCTCTTTGTCATCTTTGCGCGTTTGTCTATTTAAACGAGCGTCGTGCAATTTCTCGGCATTTATCCACTAAAGTCATGGATATCACTCCACATAAGCATTTTACCGTAACACAATACTATTCTATCTACTATTTTAATGAACTTAATATCCATGGGACTCGTAACTAAAATCGAGCAAAAAAACTTTTTTACCACAAATTTTCTACTCATTCGACTATGTATAATGGAATTCATTAATCTTCGGATTAATCTCCTGGGCAAAATTCTCCAAAGAAAATATAAGTTCAAAAAAATTACTGCACAATAAAATTATAGAAGAACATTTTATGATTTTATGGATCTTGAATTAAATTTATTAAATTTTATTTTTAACTAGCAAACGGACATTTCTTATTATTTTGTAAATTCGAAACTCTCTAAAGAAAACAATTATTCTTAAAAATATTAATTAAATTCGATTATTTTTAACAATTTTGATGAAATTCTTTTTAAAAAATCATTATTTTCAAAATTTTTAATAAAATTCCATCAAAAAACTAAAGTATTTTCAAAAATTCATAATAACAGGTTCAATTATTTTTAAAAATTGTAATAAAATTTTTCTAAACAATTCAATTGTTCTCAAGAAGTTTTTAATAAAATTCTTTGTAAATTTCAATTATTTTGAAACTTTTTTTTTATAAATACATTCCAAGAATTCAATGATTTTCAGTACATCGAAAATTTAATTATTTCTGAAAATAATTGACTTCTTTCATAGAATTTTATTAAAACTTTTTTAAATAACTGAACCTCGGCGAAAAAATTTATTATTTCTACAATTAATTGAATTTTTGCAAAATTTTAAAAAATAATTGAATTTTTGAAAAGAATTCTACTATTCATATAAAATAATTG